TTGGGCAGACACATTGGGGTGACTTGGGGGGGGCCAGGGCACACTCACTGCCACCCCCCAGCTCAGCCCACACTCCTCGGGGGGTGCAGGAGCATCCCTAACCCTGCCCACGGGTGGCTGCAATAGGAGTGACCTCTCCTGGAGATCTCCCCGAATGACAGCCAATGTGAGAGACTGTCCCTCATCACTCCGGCATATATTTTTGTCTGAGATGTGGTTTGCATGATGGAAAAAAAAAAAACAAACCCGCTTGCCTTGGCTGCTGGCTTGTGCAGCAAAGTGAAGGCAGCAGGATGTGGGGACAGTGTCCTGCTGGTCCTGCCTGCCACATCCCACCAGACCACCTCGGCCCAGTGCAATAACCCCCCTCTTCTTCCCTAAATCCACCTCCTTGGATGCAAAAGCAAATCAAGAGAGAATCCCAACACTCCAAACACTGCCGGCATCTTTCCTACCCAGGAGTGTATTGGGGACTGAGGACAGGGGGTCCTGGGGCTCCCCAGCCCACCTATGGGGGGTCCCAGCCCACCCACCGTTGGAGTCCAGCGGGATGAGGTTGACGGCGTTGAGCACTTCCACGCGGAGTTTCTGCTCCGAAGGGCGGTACAGCACTTTGATCGTCACGGCCCCGTACTTCTCCGAGCTGGTGTCCAGCTGGGTGGTGGAGTACAGGGATAAGGCTCTTGCCTTTCGGTATGCTCATGGAAGGGATGCCCGGGGTCCACTGGGGGCTGAACAGGCGTTTTGGGGTACCGGGGGGGTAATGAGCATCCTCTGGGATGTAGTTGAACCCCCTCCTGCCCACCACTGGGGCAAGACCAGCCGCAGCAGCCCCAGGACTGGGAGGGTGGTGGGGAAATCCCACATTTCCATGGGTGGGCTGTGCTGGGCAGCCTCGTGTGTGCAAGGGACAGGTGTGGGAAGGGGCTGGGGGCACCATCCTGGATCCTACCTGCTGCTGGATCCTGTTGCTGAAGTATTTCTGGATGAGTTTGCGGCTGGTGGCAGAGCAGAGGGCCAGGTGAGTCTCCAGTGACTGTGGGGAGGACGAGAGGTGACGGACAAGGACATGGATGGGTCCACAGCCCGGGGATTCCCTCCCTGGAGGGCACCCAAAGGAGACCCTGGGGACCCCCCCATCCCCAGCATCCCGTACCTGGAAGGCTGCGGTGTGCAGGGTCTCCAGCGGCAGCCCGCAGCCCTCGGCGTGGAAGCACAGCTCCAGGCTCTGGGGACAAGGACGCTGTTAGCTGGTATGCAAACACCGGCCCCTGCCAGTGACCCCCCTGGTATTACCCCCCCGCCCCAGTACCTTCAGGGCACAGTGCAGCTTCTTGTAGCGCTGGGTGGAGGAGACCTGCTGCCCCGCGGCTGCCGACAGCACGGCCAAGGTGTGATGCCAGAGGAGAGCGAGGAGGCTGCGGGGTGAGGGAGGACGGCTGTGAGCGGGGGTCCGCGGTGGTGGGTGGTGGGGGTTGGTCCTCGGCTGAGGGGCTTTGCAAAGCCCCGGAGGGAACCGTCCGAGCAGCCAGCCACAAGGCAGGGTGTCCCTGAGCCCCGTGGGGCTGGGGGGACACTCCTGTCGAGGGATGGTGGCACTGGTGGCCTCTGCCGTGGTGCATCCCCAGAGCCCCACTCACGTTTTGAAGTTCTCCTGCACCAGATGCTCATTGAGATACTGCAGCTCCGACTCCAGGAACTTCATGAGCGGGATGATGGACTGCAGCGAGAGCAGAGGGGCGTTGGGGACAGGGTGAGGGGGCTGTACCCAGCAGG